GAGCATGTGCCAGAAACGATGAGTGAGGCCTCTCGATTGTGCCGTAAGTTCTTGATTTAACAATACAACAGCAGGGTGGTAAAGAAACCAGTGAAAGGTGGAACAAAGGGGCTGTGTGAAACAACCGCTTATTCAATCTGCATCGTGAACTCTCCCCAGGTGGAGTTTGCTCCTGTTTTACTCAACAATGGCATGTGTATTTTTGCACGATCAAGACCGCATTTGCATTCTTGCGACCATGCAATGGCAAATCAGGATAAAAACAATGGCAGGCATCACTGATCTCACATTCTTCAAATCGTGACCGTTACAGAAGATTCTTCTGAGGACGAAAACGAGGTCCTGTTAACACTACCTCAGAGCACCACACCGCTACCGTTCTGATTTCCTTCTGACCTGCCCTGGGGCGTTTTCACGGCGCCGGTCGGAATTCAGAGTGACCCTAGCAGGATGGCGGAATACCGCACACGTCATGTGTGCAGTGTCGCCCGATTCTGTTTTCCGGATTAGTGGATGACCTTTTCCCTGGCATATACATCAGCTTAGGACTGCCGTCATCTGGTCTCCCACTCGCCCAACCTATCGCCCCTGAACTTAACAGTCGCCCCTGGTCACAAGAACTACGTCCACAGGACAGCCGAGCTAACTGTCAAAAGCTCCAGGCCGCCTTTAGACTTGAAATGGGACGCATCACGGGGAGTCCTCCGTCGACAAGAGTGACTGAACAATCGACCGCCTGCAGCGGGTTCAGCTGTTGCGCGCCTTAGACCGTCAGGGGTCCATGTGGGGCATCTTTTGTTGTCACAATTTGACGGATGTGAAGTCTCTGGTGACCGACATTGCTGTCGTCATGTTTTGCCAATGAAGTGGCAGTTGTTGAGGCCTTACAGCGTCAGTGTAACGTCTGGCATTGCTCCTGCCATATCGGCTACCCGGCTGCTCCGGCGGGTCGGGTTACAAGTGCTCTGGAGGCGCGCGCTCGACACGGCTGGCATTCACCCACGTCTTTCGATGTCAGTTAAGGTAAATCGTATTTCGACTGCAGCCGAATGCCACCAAATTCACGACTTTGAGAGCTTTCCACTGTCGAGGAGAGCGTGGGTAAGCTTTTATTTGGGTCAACCAACGTTTTTAAAAGCTTGCGTACATTGCCGCTCCCATCCACCTGTGATATCTGGCGAAAAACATTCTAGCATTCGCAGACTGGCCAAATATAAAACGTCGTCAGCATGACAAAAACATGACAAAATGGCCCAAGTAGCCGACGCGCTCCACAATGCCAATCAATGACGAAAACACGAGGCACCTACAGGATACTTTTTGGTACAGAATAAATACATATGTATAGCGATGGGTGCTGCGTAGCAGACTGTTCACGTTCGTCGCAAGGTGCTGAGGCCAGCCACGATTTTTACGACTAGCATGGGGCCTAGTTATATTGCCTTTTTATACAGCTTATTTTGTGAAGTGAGGCTTGGCTGAAAAAAATCTGTGGAAAACAGTAATCTCAGGGTCATTGGAAGAGTACAATGTCACCTCTGGTCTATGGTGTGAGCCCTCATATAGCATAGTTTGTAGGATATTGCAATCACCTCCTAAAAGCCTTCCAGGTAAAAGCTACTCAATGTTGAGCAGCGTGGTGTCGTGCAACTTGCTCATGCAGCGAAACGTCGATGTCTTTATATGATCTCTACACAAGCTTACGTTGCAAGCGTTGGCGAGTATCGACCAATCATGAGCTTTAAGTGACGTCTTACTGGAATTGCCATTGTAATTTGTTGCCATTTTCCCGCGTTTGTCGCCAAGTAGCTCGCAAAAGCTTCCATTTCACCGATAATATCTTGTCAATCGTTAGCTTTTCACCCCTGGTGTGAACTGGAACCATCATCCGCCTGCTTCCCAAATCCGAGTCAGCTGATTTTAAGTTTCCAACTGCTACTCTCCAAATTCCTGTCGTGTTTTGGGACTTGTTATGCATCCTAGGCGCTTCAATAAAGGTTCTTGACCGCTGCAACCAGCTATATTGCAGTTACCATTCATGAACGCTGCTGCGACCTTTTGCACTTCCGTACGAAAGGGATATTCTAAAATACCAGCCACAGCAACACTATTCGGGCTTATTGCCCGCGGCAGCGGACTTTTTCAACAGCTTACCCCGATCAGTCCTATGGCCACGACCTTTGCAATTGCTGTTTTGCTCTCTTCCTATGCAGATTCTTTTATATCCATCTACGCAAATAAAAGCATGGTACTGCATCGTAAGGTATTGTCATCAGATTTTCACTTTGCATGATTTGTTGAATGATCTGCAAAGGGCAGCAATGATGAATGCTGTTGTTACCGTGGCTCAGCTTTTCAGCACACACCGAATGAATGGACGGCAGATGAATGCAATTTCGCTGTCAGCGATCACAGCACGTGCGCTTTCCCATGTTTTACTTGAAATACGCGGCGGCGGCGACAGGGCGGCCGAGCGGTGCCATTTTGACGTCACGAAAAAAAGAAATCGTAACTTTGCTGTAAAATCCTTTAGTTAACCTTGACATTCGAGCAGAAGAGTGTACAGAACAATTTTTAAAATGGGTAGCAAATGCTGGCAGTGAACCGGCACGCGAGGTGATGTAAATTTCGCCAGGAATCTGGCGACATTTTCGACGAAAGCGTGCTGCACTTGGCATCATTCTCCCGAATGCCGGCATTCCGGGTTTGCACGACGATTACCGCCGCAACCGTGCATCGCACAGTTTCGTGTTAGCCACATGAGCTTCAGGAGGCACACTGGTCGACGCTTTGAACTTAGATGCACGCTTCCGCCGGCTCTTGTTACCGAGTTGTAGCTTAAAGCGTGAAAAGCGGTTAAAAACAGGGAAATTTGTCTTTGCCGCAGCTGTGCACGTGGCACGTGGCATGTGCAGCGTAGCACGTGACATCACGTGATGCGCCGTTCAATTCTCTGTCTAAGCGCGTTGATTGCGCCTCGCCCCGACCCGCGGTTGCCGAGATACGGCCACGGTTTCGATCGCCCGCTCGGCGGCTTCGGCGCCGGCCGTTCTTCCGTGCCGTCCATGCAAAACCAGTGGGCTAAAAATGTAATTTGTAACGTGTGCCACGCGCCACCCGCTGACCACATCAGCACGACACTCGCCGTGGCACGTCGTCACGTACGCAAGGGCACGGTATCACACTTACGCTTTCAAGTGACCTGCCGTTTGACCTGCCCACGGGTCCACGCAAAAGGACGACAAACGAGCCCACATCCTCTGAGCTGTGGCTCAGAGGATTTAGCACACTGTCCGGGTGAATTGCTGACACAGGGGGGCTGGATGACATGTGGAGCACGACCAGGTGAAGTGCTGACACAGGGGAGCTGGATGACATGTGGAGCACGACCAGGTGAAGTGCTGACACAGGGGGCTGGATGACATGTGGAGCACGACCAGGTGATGTGCTGACACAGGGGGCTGAATGACATGTAGAGCACGACCAGGTGAAGTGCTGACACAGGGGGCTGGATGACATGTGGAGCACGACCAGGTGAAGTGCTGACACAGGGGACCTGGATGACATGTGGAGCACGACCAGGTGAAGTGCTGACACAGGGGAGCTGGATGACATGTGAAGCACGACCAGGTTAAGTGCTGACGGGAGCTGGATGACATGTGAAGCACGACCAGGTGGAGTGCTGAAGCGAGGGAGATGATGAAACTGGGGTACGTAACGTAAACACCAGATGAGCCGCTGCTGCCGCCGAACCAAGGACTCAACTACAAAAGCAGACTGGCTCTAGTCACGTGACTGTGTTTCGCATGGTCCGTTAAAAGCGACCAGGACGTACGAGGGACGCAGGCCATTTAAAGTCATGCCGATCGTTCAGCTCAAATGCGTGTTTCATCCAAACATTTGTCGCGAGTATTTGTCGTAAACGTGGTCTTCGTGAAAACATAGGATTACACCTGTAGGGCTTTGCTGCCATATCCTTGCTTATCTATTGCTTATGTTTCACATCCCTTGGTACCTGAGATACTTAGCAACGTCTGCTGCTAAGTCAAAATAGTGAGCCCATGGTGCAACGAGTGCCAGTGAACTTCAGCCAACCTCGTTCCCCACATCCGTGTCGTCGGACTTTGATGGAACGAGCACCGTCCATCCGTTTATTTTAACGATCTCAAAACTCACTGTTGTCTCGAAGAGCGAAGCATTTCTTCCGGGGGCCGCATTAACCCCTTCTCCGTTGACCCCTCCACCCGTCTGGACCTCTCGACACCCTTGGCTGAATCGCCAGGATCGCGGGAAAAGCCCCGCTGTGGCTGGCTGGGGTGCGTCCTGTGGACAGTGGAGCCCGTTGCGTAATATTTTATTGTTATTCCTGGCTGCATGTTGAACACAGCGAACTATGCGAAGCAGCCGAAAAAAGAAAATACACATTCCAGGGAGACGGTTTTCAGCTACCAGATGTCAACGACTATACAAAGGCTACGGTTTTGGCAATGGTTTTCTTCTAGAGCTTGCGATTTGGCAGTTATTTAAAAAGCTTTCCTCTCCTGAACGTAATTAATCGGGCTGCTTTGGGCCAACACAGTTATACGGCGGAGAGTGCCTGGGTATCGTCCAATCAATCCAGTCTTTTGCGCGGAAACCTTCTGCATAAACGGTTGAAGACATATGTCATCTTCACAGCAGAGACAGCTGTCTTTTAGCAACAGGTAACGTTGCCCGGGATATCAGGTATCGGGGGTATGTGTAACATAACAAATACGTACGCCGTCGTTAACGTTAAATCTACGGCACTGTACGGAGAGAGTCAAATGCATGGCAGGGCTGCGCCATCGACGCTGGGCGCCCCCTGGCGACTGGAGATAGGCTGATGGGTGCCGGGCGGGGTTCGCTGAGTGCGGGGCGGCAGCCCGCCTCTCGCGCCGGCTCCTCCGTCACCATGCCGCACCTCACCCCCTGTAACACCACTCCGCTGCGCCGACGCCGCCAGCATCTACCGGCTCCAGATCAGCCTGACCGAATGGGGCGCCGAGTTCCCGTCACAGCTCTTCGCCGACGTGCAGCCGAGCGTGCGCGAGCTCATCCTCGACCACAACAGCTTCGGGGTGCTGCCCGACACCGCGTTCGCCGGGCTGCGCGGCACGCAGATCGTGCGCCTCGACCACAACCGGCTGTCGGCCGTGCCAGCGGCGGCGCTGCGCCGGCTGCCGCGGCTGCGCACGCTCGGCGTCAACAGCAACGAGATCGGCCGGCTGAACCGCGGCCAGCTGGCGCCGCTGGCGCAGCTGCGCTACCTCTCGCTGGCCGGCAACGGACTGGAGGCCGTCGAGCAGGGCGCGCTGCCGCCTGGCATCAAGCACCTCAGCCTCTACAACAACCGGCTCGAGTCGCTGAACGGCACGCTCAGGTGGGCCGCGCCCGAGAGGCCAGGACGATGAGAGGGCGATGCGTGCTCTTGCTGGAACACTGCTGTCGTGCCCTCAAACGACGGTGGCGCTGGAATGTGGTGCGTGGGAATGGACGTCATGAATTGGCTGTTGGGTTTGGTGTTGCATGTTGCATTTGAAGCACAGGCGACGTTTGCTAGAAAGTAGGGCTGATGCCGCTGAACGCACCGTTTCCAGGGTGTGGCGAGGAGTCAGACATTGGGATTTCGTAACCCCTAAATCCCAAGCCGACAACAGCTGTCAGGATAGTTTTAAGATGTTTCAGACGTTATGCAGTAAGCCTTCGCATGTTTGAGTCCCACGGGCGCTCCCCGGCCAACCTCCCGTCGGACTTTACCCGCTCCCCCTCCCCCACACAAAAACACGCGCACTACGACCCCCCCCCCCCGCCCCCCACACCCCAAAAGTCTTGTTCTGACGCCGACCTTGGCTGACAGGAACATGAACAGCATGAAGTGGCTGTTCATCTCCAAAAACAGACTGACGTCGCTGCGGGACGAGCTGCCTGCGGGCAACAGTCTGAGAGCGCTGACTGCCTACGAGAACCAACTGACGTCTCTCGACGGGCTGCAAGACGCGAGATCGCTCTCGCGTCTCTTCCTGCGCTCCAACCGGCTGACCTCGCTCGGACGCCTGCGGCTGCCGCTGCTCAAACTGCTCGAAGTCTCCGACAACCAGATCGAGACGGTGAGACGGCGATGTTGTTGCAGCGTGGGCCCCAGGCTAGGCGAGGGTCGGGCGGAGCGCTGTCAAGGCGATATGAACCCGCTGCCGTTCAGGCTGGCGAGGGCCGGCTGGAGTGCTGTCGAAGCGATCTGAACCCGCTGCCGTTCAGGCTGGCGAGGGTCGGCTGGAGTGCTGTCGAGGCGATCTGAACCCGCTGTCGCTCAAGGATCAAGGTCGTGCAGATTAGGATTCGAAAGGTTCAAAGCACGTTCCCAACCGCCTTGAGACCTGTCAGCTGAGGTAAAGCTAGGCATGCTCCTCTGCAGTTCTACGGACAACACAACGCCCCAATCAGGTACCAGTACTGCAGTCAGCTGGACAACGAGGGACATCATTCCACTCAGCTCCCCAGGATAAATCCGAAGTCCTTCCGCCGTCATCGCCAATAGACCGGACGGCCAGATCGCGTCACTCGCACAGCGCCCCACCACAGCGATGATGCATGCGGGGAAGCTCTCTGTTGCACACAGAGAAGGCCGATGCGCTGACGTCGCCGCCTCCGCCCCGCCGCACCTGCGCCGGTCGTCACGCCTCCGTCCAGCGCTGCAGGCGTCCGCGCCAGCGCGCCGCCCGCGGCCGAGCGGCGATCGGTGCAACAGCACGCAGCTGTCATTCGGTCGCACTGTTTACGGCTGAGCGCTCCCAGAGCCGGCAGCCGCATGATAGTCGTTGACGCGTGGAGGTGGCTGCCGTCGGCCGGGTTGGGGCGGCGATGCGGCCGCCAGCTCGCCGCCAACGGCTTCCCATGCCCGCAGCCGCGTGATGGCCCTTGACGCGTGGGGATGCGGCCGCCAGCCCACCGCCGGCAGCTTCCAGAGCCGGGGCGCGGCCGCTCTGGCGTCAGTGGATGAGCGACGGCGTGGCCACATGTTCCGATGGCGCGTGTCACGGGTCTGAGACCCGCCGGGGAGATCTGTCTCGTCGGACAGCGAGGGCGAACCTTTGTCACGGCGGCGGTGCTCCGTGACACTCTGGTGTCTTGCTGGCTGGCGTTGTAACACCGCAGCTGTGTGAACGGTAAACAGCAATGTCGCAACATGTGCCAGTGCGTCTTAACTTTGGTCCGATCTCTACGTTGCCTATTTGAATAGTGTTTATATTCTACCGCAATGTTTTGGAAGGGTGTCGACGCGTCTCGCAGTTCATTTATCCAGACGAAAACACTATGCATGCCTTGACAGGTTAGGATGGCAGCCCCGTTCTGGCCTCTGATCGTGACGTCTGAACTTATCGACTAATTTAAACATCCCGCTGCTACGTAAGACGAAAATGATGTCGCATGTGTTGCCCCTCGGGTTGTATGAGGGTCATAAGCTGTTGCATGTAGAGGCACTCGAAGGCCGTCTGAATCACACGATTCTGCATTAGCATCGGCCATTCATCAGTTCTAAATTTGCCAAAGCAAGAAACACTGACGGCCTTGGCCTAAGGCCTAGGCGTGGCTGCGCCAAAAACCCCGCACGTGTTCGTCATTTCCTAAAACTCGTTTCGTTTCACCTGGTGCCGTCCGGATGTTGTCACGAATGAAGCGTCCAGCTCCTTGATTGCTTTGAATCATATAAGATGTGCTACGTCGCATTGGTCTTGTGTATATCACTCCCAAACGCCATCAGGCGTATTATGCATTACGTTCATCATAATCATCATCATGGCGTTCAACGTATCGTGCATTAGTATCATCATTGCGCTCATCGTATGGTAATCAACTAGGTCAACAGTGTCCCGCAGTGCCCATCCTCCTTGTCAGGGCGAGAGACAGGCGACGCCATACAGCCTCAACAGCTGACGGCGTCGTAAATACCCAGTGGCAGTAGGTCAGCAGTGTCACGTGTCGTTGGTAAGGACGTCTGGCGGTCAACTTTTCAAACTTCACTTCTGGCACGGCCCGCTTGACCAGCTGAGCGATCATTCATCAACACGGTTATGCGAACCCAATACCCCTGAGAAAATTCAGCGTTTTCGACGTGATTGTTGAATACCAGACCCCTCAAAGCTACAAGACTCCCAGGGCCACTACCTCTTCTTCTTCGGCTTTCCCGGAACATTTGTATCGTGTTGGTCGTTATGTTTTCCTGGAACATGCGTTATGTTTTTTTTTTCTTCAGGGAGCTGCGTTACCCGGTGCGACACAAGATAAGGCAGTAGCTCAAACACCTAGCAATTGTGCTAACTGATGCATGGAAACAGGGCAGTAGTTCAGGCAGGTAGTGTCGCTACACCTTCAGACGACGAACCCTTCTTTGGATTTGGGTTCCCGTACCAGCGAGACACTTCCCAGCAGTCACCCAGATCGTCAGCTTGGTGAGGTCTACGCTTTACGTTCGCTGCAGGTGACTCCGGAGGATTTTGCCGGCATGCCTGCCTTGAAGGAAGTCACCTTGGCCAGCAACCGGCTGACGGAGGTGGGGCCCATCCTGGACGTCCTGCGCGCGCTGGACAAGCTGGACCTCTCCGATAACGGGCTGATCTCGATCGGTCAGCTGACATCAGAAGATCGTCAGGTATGTCCGCCATCCCATACTGGTGCCTGAAGTTCTGTCAACGTGGACGACATGAAACTCCGTCAACGTGAACAACATGAAACTCTGCCAACGTAAACAACATAAAACTCCGTCAATGTGAACAACACGAAACTCCGTCAGCATGGACCATGTCCCCATATTGCCGCGCCTTTTGGGTAGACGAGACGTTAAGTTTGGCAATATCTTGCTCGTATGGTCCTTGGCAGTGGTATGCATGCCCCAATGGTCCTATGCTAATGCCATGTTGGCGTCTGGAAGCATCGTGATGTTAAAATGGTCCTGGAAGGTCTCCAATATCCTCAGACGTCGTCGCAAAGGGGTTTAGTATGTTCATGAATTTGCCGAGAACCGGACTTTGTCGCGGAAGTGAGGAAGTGACACGCGATATCCGGGCCAGCTTGGTGCGACGGAGGCCGCTGGCGACGTTCCCGTGCTGGCTCATCTTTACGTCAGAGCCAACCGGTTGACGTCCTTGGGCGAGCTGCACCTGCCGAAGCTACGTATTCTCGACCTCTCGGACAACCGGCTGACCCAGGTGAGCCACTTCATATCTACGTGACGGAGACGTTTACACGTAAGTCAGCCCGCCCTCAGGGCAGTATTTACCCTGCACTTAACCGAAATCAGTCGCAGCCTCCCACAAGGTCCTACATTTTGTAACAAGGTCTTGCTACGTAGGTATTGGCTCTAACCAATTGCTACCTTATTTTGTCAAACTTTTTCTTGGAGCTCTTCCGCATTTCAGCACAAGTTCCATAAATGATATGCTAAATGCCAAAAAAGCTAACCGGTTTGATCGCTTGCTCCGCCTCCACCACACCACGTTTCATGGTATCTCGGCATGCATGCATATCGCGCGTATCATGTACGTATTATTAAAATGTCAATTAAGACGCGCATGTGAGGTACGCAAAATAATGTCATTGGATCTTGGGCCTGGTTAGGGTCTGGTTAGGTAAGTTATTAAAATTATGTTGATAATAAATTTATCATGGCTTGCGAGTTCCCTTCTGGCATTTATCAATCTTTGATATACCTGAACCGGTAACAGTACCTCGAAATATGCTGAAGTTGAAGGTCGAGTATTGCCAGAATTGATACTCGCCCATAATGCCGAAAAATCGGTAGATCAAGGGCCTTCTAACGCACATCAAACTAAACTTTCAATTTAGCTGTGTGCAAAGTCATGTCACGTTTAGTCACCTTGTAGACACCTTGACAGTTCAAGTCGTTGATAGGGCTACAAGGCATGAGTCACGCCTATCACGGAATAACATTAACCTCCCCGCACCAAACAGGTGTCGGCGACCAACTTCGTTGGCCTGCCGTCACTACGAGAGCTCATCCTGTCCGGTAACCACCTGGAGGAGGTGGGCCTGCTCCTCGAGGTGCTGCCCTCTCTGACCAAGGCGGACTTCTCGGACAACATCATCAGGTCGATGACACCGCTCAATACGCGAGAGGCGCTGCCGCATGAAGACAAGGTGGGTGCAGACGAGGCGACATCGGGGACCTAATGTGGTGTCACAGCAGCTCCCACACTTCCTTCATGTCTGATGGTCGGATGGGTGGGAGGGGGATGGCTGACGCCACCAGCGTTTGCGGTCTGGTGGCACTTCAGACGTTCAGAAACACGTGATGCGTGTCTTCTCTGCCAGCTGGAAGGTCACAGGGATGGCAGAGCTGCTTGATTTCGATCGCTAAATTATTTTTTAGAAATTAGATTAAAATTAGAAAAAAATTAGAAAGTAGAAATTAGATTTAAAATGGAAATTAACTACTCCTCGTTAAATCAGAATTGAGCCGCTCATTTGGACCTTTCCCGGGGCAGCGCGGCAAGTGAGGCGAGTGAGGCTGTCGGTCCCTTGCAGTGCTGTGGCATGCATGGAAGAGATGCGGATGCTGCCACAAAAGCTGCGGGAGGAATGATGCGAGCATCGACGTCGGCTTCCGAGCAGTGTTTGTCGGACATTGTCTATGGCGAACGTCAGCCGAGATTAGTCCGAAGCTGAAGAAAGGCTGCGTGCCGAGGTGCGCGTTGGTCGTGACATCTGCGTGTGCGAAATCCTCACTGTTTTAACAATGAAGAGATTACGTGCAACACTGCCCAGGAAATCTCTGACAATTGATTTTGACACGTGCTTCATGGGCTTGGTCTCACCTGGTTTCAAAATGAGAAACAAGGCCAAAATCAATCTTGATCAGCGCAGAATGAGTGGTAGGTTGGTTTGACGCTTAAAAAACAACTTTGAGTACGTTTAACAGTAAACGCAAACATTAGACGGGTATGAAAAACGGCATGTTTGCGTGATATTTCCCTTTCCAAAAATCGGTCTTTTCTTGAACTCAGAACCAAATCGGCTAATTTTTGGACACAGTACCCACATGTACATTGTTATTGGTTCGGACAAAACTTTGAGTTTAGTGGCATTGGACATCACTGATCGGCATCGCCTCACTTCGTTTTTAAGGGTAGGTTTGAAATAGTTGCCTGGCCACCATGACTCGCGTTATTCTTGCCGCTTAATACGATAGATACACACATTGTCATTACCGTGCGTTACGTCAGTGCATGCTGAAGGACTGCCGCTTTTCCGGCCTCTTGTTTATGTGTGGATGGCTCTTGCGGCGTAGCGCAGCAGACCTGCTGCTGTTATGCCTACCATACCGCACCGTCCATCCAGCCATCCCATGAGATAATTAGAGCGCTGCCTTCCTGTGGCGCCTCGCAAAATGTCTTGCTGTAGCATCTGCTCTGGGTCTCAGGCCAGACCGTATAACTCGCTTCCCATGGTCCAGCTGCGCACGCCCCGGTTCATGGGACCCTCCATGTATGACGCAAGGCCGGCGCAGGCCCGCTCTGAGTGATCCCCGGTCACGTCTTGCATACTAACGCGCGGAATGTTGGCCAGTCTCCTTTTGATAACAAGTCTCTGTTCATAAACAAATAATAGCTAGTGTTTCGGAGGCTTGCACCGTTTGACTTGCCAAAGCTTGCACGGATGAGCGGATGTTTATCAGTTTGAGACGTGTAACTGTCGATAGGCAAAACCCATGACATGCTGAGCATGGCAAACATCTTGACATAAAACTTGATACGAAATCGCTTCTTACCTAACTGTATATATACCGTTAATATGCCCCAACTTTTGCGCCATTGCGATGACACCACGGAGATGTTGTCGCTCAGAATTGCTACTTCACGCATAGCCCGCTCTTTCCAGGACCATATGTGTTCATTCACCAAATCCTCACAAAGCAACCTGACGGAACTAAATACAGGAAACGTCCTGGGTTAAGTCACTCGCTAAGTTCGGTGTATCTATGCATATCCTAACAGAATACGGAAGTCTCGTGTACGTTGGATTATCTTTTTCCACGAATGAATGGTGCTCTACACGTATTTGTTAATGCACACCATTACTATGTGCGTGTGCATGCACACCATTGGGTCATTCGATCAATATTGTAAGGTCGTCGCAGCCGAAATATGTTTATAAAACGGCAGAACAACACGAGAATGAGGTTTAGGTCAGAACCCAACGGCATTGCCACAGAGGAGCTTCGATTTGTGTAACTGCTTGTTGTGGGGACAGGAACAGTGGGCAAGCCGAGGGACGGACTGCCTAGCCCTCCCTAAATGTGTGCTTCTTAACGGACTTGCCACACTTTAAGCTGATGAACGGTTCCGTGTTAATGTCGGTGCTATCATGATCATATCATGATACTCATTTGATCACCATAATTGCAAAAAAGCGCCCAAGGGAAATGGGAGCAGTGTATCCCAATTCCCGCACACTCAAAAAAAAACTGGCGCGCGTTTAACGACAGTGGCGGCCAAAAGTAATATTGAGGAGCTGGGAGCCTTACCAGAGAATACAAATTGGTACCCTTTTTACACCACAAGCGAGTAAAAACAAGCCTGTGTCGTAATAGGTCACATAAAGCGCCTATTTGAGGAAAAAACAGTGAAGAAGCAGTTTCACAATTTGCCTTTCGGTCTTACAACCACTTTCTCCTTTTTCGGGCCACCAATTGGGAAATCAGCCACTTGGCCCTTACACATTGACAGTTACTCACGCAAATAGAAATGCATGCCCAAAATACGGGGGAGTGGTACATAACCCGAGAGCCACTATATGTGCACCCCACTGTTGCAGCGTTTCCCCTCATTTGTTTAGTTGTTTATCGTCATGGAAATCAACGGCATCCGCCCAGCTTCTCATGCGGCGAATGTACGAATATACTGACTTGCAGTGAGTCACACAGCCACACGGACAAAACAATCACATACAAAGATATGCGTGTGTGTGCTTATCAATATATATATATATATATATATATATATATATATATATATATATATATATATATATGTGTGTGTGTGTGTGTGTGTGTGTGTGTGTGTGTGTGTGTGTGTGTGTGTGTGTGTGTGTGTGTGTGTGTGTGTGTGTGTGTGTGTGTGTGTGTGTGTGTGTGTGTGTGTTTTTATTGAAAACGACCGCTGATTCCACAACATTAAGGTTTTTAAAGCATCGTTCGAGATGTGGGGCTTCTGTCTTTGCCGCCTCGTTCAGGTAAAAGGCGTTTCGGACAGAATCGCTCAGACATTCCTTGATATCCTTTGTTCGAACGTTCCGAGACCTATCTCCGCGTCGTGGAAACAGCTTGCACAGGTGATAAGTTCTGTCTTTTAAGGACACAAGTATTGCATCTATACCCTTGTTGCATCCTTCAGTGCAGAGAAGGTGACTATTTTTATCGCTCTGAAGTCTGGCTACTTTAATGTGAGGGAAGATATTATTGGTAAAAAGCATTGCAAAGATACGAAACAACAATCGTATCGACGGTAGCTACCGCTCAACACATAGTAACTTCACAGTTGTGCAAGAATGTGACCTCTTGTTTAATGGCTGGGGAGAACGCATTGGTAAGCATACCGTCCCACATTTGTCAGCGTATTTTGTCATCGCATGCTTGGGAGACGCCAGTATGGTCCGTCAGTCGTTGTAGTGGCAACGTCCTGTCATGTTCGTGTCACATGTGCCCCAGACGTGCCCCGTCGTAAGAGCGCTGTCAGGCGTCGTGAGAGCGTCAAGGTCGTCACGCTAGTGTAGTGTCTGGCACAAGGTTTGCAGCCTTCAGAATTAAATTTGAATTGATACATTAGATTGGTGCTCTTTAGGTTGTCAAGTTTGTCGGGGCTGTTTCCCATAAGACTGTTCCTATACTTCTGTTGAGAAAGTGAATGACGATAGCTGTTTTTTTATTTGTACGTGCCTTTTACGGATTGAAATATTATTTTCCGTAAAGCTGTTTTCCCTTGCTTTTAGGTAGATGCCATTTGATCTTGGTATTTTATCAGCTATGTGTTAATTTATGAATGAAGTTACACTCTAGGTACAGTCCACCCCGCCACGAAGTTTTCACCATTGAGTTGAGACCCTCCGATCGCTGGCGCACACAGCGGACAGTCCTCTCTTGCGCTGCACTTAGTAGTTTTGAGCTTATCTCGCGTCCGAGACGCAGCGGCCGGAACGTCTGCTGCGATGTCAAAATCCACGATCCACCTATCCTCACTTCTCGCTGACTGGCTGCTTCTCTACCACCTCTCACACTAATATGGCGTTTCTCCGCGCCGTTGCTGGCAAGAGTTCCCTGCAGGCATGCATGTTACTCAAGAAAAAACAACAAATGCAACTAACTTTTCTCATCGAAAATTATTTGTTGAAGAGTTGGGTTAAATGTTAGCGTGTGTCATAAAGTTACTTCAATTAAGTTTTTTTCTCTCTTTCTGCGCAGTTTTTCCGTGCGCACATAATCAGATTACATCGGCCCACCAACACAACGGCACCGCCATCTTGTGCTGTTTTCATTGTGAAGACTTCCCTTTACGTAGTTGTAGTATTCTTTATCAGAAATTCAGAATTCCACACAAGAATGCTATTGATTTTTGCTGATCGTATATGGATCTGAAGAAAAAAGGAGGGTCGTAAACACGATGACAGTTGCTATCGTTCCAGATGGCAAATAATGCTTTTATTACGCAAAAGGAATGGGCAATAACGCAGGATCTATCTGAATAATGGGATAACAAAGAAAATATTTTTGGAAATGAAAAGTATGAAGCAGACAATTGTTTTGGTATCCCTGTTATCGTTTCATATTTTGACAAGCGTGATCCACGTGACCCTCTGGCTATATTCAAGCTACCTAGCTTTCTGGAGCCTTGGGTAACAATCTCACGCCGTACAGTTATTAGGGTTCCTTCTTTATCGCAACCAAGAAGCTGCCCAAGCGAACAGAGCGTCTCCCACCGCCTCAAATCCGACCCAATAGCCGTTCCCTTTTAGCCCGTGCTCCGTCTGTCAGCCCGTGCTTCCATTTGTCAGCCATGCTCCCATCTGTCAACCCGTGCTTCTGCCCCTACCCCTCCCCCCACTCTCTGTCAGGCCGTGTTCCCCCGTCTGTCAGCCCGTGTTCCCCGTCTGTCAGCCGCACCACTGAGAGTCCCTCTGGCGTCAACAGCCGCAGCTGGTGCACCTGGAGACGCTGATGCTGAACAACAACAGCCTGAGCGCCCTGCACGTGGCGCTGTACCGGCTGCCGTCCCTCTGCGTGCTGGACGTGCGCGACAATGCCATCAGCAGCCTGCGCTGGCACCGGCACCACGCCTGGCACTGCAGCCTGCAGCGCAGCAAGCTCCGCATCAGAGGTCAGAGCGTCCGCTGCTGGGCCATCGGTCGCTGTTGGATGTGGTGCTGGGTCATCAGCGGTCGCCAAAAGGGGTGCTGAGTCATGGGTGGTCACCAGCTGTGGTGCTAGACTATTGGCGGTCATCAGAGCTGGTGCGAGGCCGCCGTTTTGAGCTTCGGGTAGCCAACAGGCAACGACAACAACAGCAACAACAACAACAGCATGATCGGTCCAGCGTGACATCGACAGCCTCGCCGACTGATTGCAGTGACCCTGCGAACACAAAGGACAATGGACATATGTACATAGGTTAAAAGCTTCCCACACAAATACATGCACATATGTCCACTTGCCCTGATCGTTGCACAGGACCCGGGCCTCTCGGGGCCTTCAGTTGCCAGCCCCTCGTGCTTGCTGCTGCGAGACCTTGACATTTGGCCGGTTGTTTGCTCTCAGGAAATCCGATGCGCTGCGAGGACGAGACCGTGCGGCGGTCCCTCACATCGGCGGCGGAACAGTTCAGCATAGATGTCGCCCTCTGCGACGGCGTCCAAGAGCCGTGACGGCACCCGACACCGGAAGCGTGACGTCAAGCATCGATCGACCTCGGCCCGAGCAGGGTCCCTCCCACCCCGCCGATGCCTGGCGCTGGGGGACGCCAGCGGACCTAGTGGACTGCACGTGATGGTGCTTCGGACACCAGGCCGCCTTTGGACGTGAGAGCACCGCCGCGACATGTGGTGTAGTGATCAACGAGTGTGCCATTCTGTGCGGGGGCCTGGCCACCATAGCACGGCCGGCTGGCGCTGGCGGGCCGTAACGTGACCTCATGGCTCACCGGACTTATGGCGGACCAGAGACGCAGCGGTGGTGATACGACCAGTGGACTGTGGCGGCCAAACCAGTGCGCTGCTTTTCGCATGGGCCTACAGCTGCGCGACGGAGGAGACACAGTCTTCTGGGTGGTGCGGAGCTTTGTGGTGTGGCATCCGTGTCGTTCGTTTGTTGACCGAATTCGGGTCATGGACAGGATGTGATTGTTATTGTTAAGTGAGTGGTTCATGTCGGCGATGACGATTTGCGTGACCATGGCGCACTCCGGCTCGGGTAGGCGGTGGCGCACTCCGGCTCGGGTAGACGGTGGCGCACGCCGACACGGGTAGACGGTGGCGCCCTCCGGCTCGGGTAGACGGTGGCGCACTCCGGCTCGGGTAGACGGTGGCGCACTCCGGCTCGGGTAGACGGTGACGCACTAGCGTAGCTATAACCACTAAGCTCAAGAGTGCTCAATAAGCATATGGTCACTGATTACACATGATCGTTGAACACTGAACATGTCCCATGTCAAAACATCATAGCGTAGCTCAAGCTCTGAATGAATAAACATATCGCGATGTTTAAACAATCTGCCAGACGCCAAGAGCTGTCCGAACCACGTCACAGAACCGTGCAGAGTGCAGATCCCAGCGAAGTGCGGGCGGCTTCGGCGCACCGCCGACTGGGCTCGGCTCCACGAGCTTCAACGCACCGCCCGCGCACGCGCCGTCCGCACGCTCAGGTGTACCTGACCCTTCTGAAGCAGCCGTCCGGCAACGCTCGCGCCACCACCTCCAGCTCCCGCACCTCGCTCTCCGCGCGCTTCTTCTCTTGGGCGAGGCGCTCAATCTGGCGCAGGCGCCGCCGCGCCGACGTGCGCAGCCGCCGCGCGCGCTCGGCCAGCTGCAGCTGGCGCAGCTGCGCCTCGGCCGCGTCCAGCTGCCGCTGCAGCCGGTCGAGCGCGGTCTGCTGCGGCTGGTCAGTCTGCAGGGCAGCCAGCTGCGCGCTCAGCTCGGTCAGGGCGTCTGAGGTCGGCTCGAGACGAGCGTCGGTCGACGAGTGAGACCGGCCCAGCTCTCCCAAAGCCTGTGTGACCTGCCCCAGCAGGTCGCGTGTGGTGGATACCTGAGGGCACGAGAGGTGACGTCACATGCACAAGGTCTGCCGAGCGCATCTCACCGGTCACCATCACCGGTCACACCGGTCACCGGGGTTCTAGAATATCAGGCGGCAACTGGCTGCTGCCCGAGGTCATGGGAGGTCAGCCATATAAAACGCATAATATCGCATTCATAAAAATATGCATTCACGCACAAACCTTACCTGAACGAGTGAAGCGTTATTCGAGTAAGTAAATCACTATTTTCTCCCCCAATCGACTGTAAGTGTCAAATATTTTTGGGGAGGAAACATTTTATAAATGGCTGTTTATGAACTACGCACTTGCGGCCTGTTACTTACACTGCCAGTCACCTGCACGCAATACAAAAACCTGATCGCTAGCCATAAGCGCTTGGAGCCTCCTAGCACTGTAAATGTTGCTGCGCAGTATCGCAAAAAATGAGGCAATTTACAAAACCAAAATCCCCTACTTGGCTGCCTGAAAGTGCCGGTAGCCGGTAAATGCAGAGAATGTCGCTGTCTGTGTATCGTAAAGCCGCAATTCGCTGCAAGCTCGGAAAGAACAAGAATTAGGCATATTTTGCGGAAAGAGGCCGGCGTGCCATTGCACGTGCAAGAAGAGACAAGCGTTCGCGACGGGCTTGCGCCCGGGGTTAAAATCTACGTTCTTCTCAGGATGGAGCAGTTAAAATTTCGAAATGCGTTCATACGCGTGTTGCAATAAAACGATTCGCACAAACCCTGCCAATTAAATAACGTTGAAAAGCGCCTTCATGCCGGCAGGCACGAACCCATGCGAAGAGGGATGTCCCTGTCTTAAATCGGATGGGGTGCTGAGCCCGAAAGGTTCTCGTAACCTATCGCCCAAACCTGATTTATCTTTTGATTTCGATTATTTTAAGCTGAATCCACATGATCAAATAAACAAAACATTCACTCGATACCAACATCGTTTCACTGATGAGGAATGACTTTTTACTCCAGGCTAATGTGGAGCTGCGATTAATGAGAAGCTTAGAATGGGTGCAATTTACAGAAAAACATACCTAGGTAGATCGACTGGGAACGCGTAAAAAACTGTCCTTTTTTGTTTATGAAAGGCAGCCCGAGACGCAAAAAGACGATTCACGTAGAACGTCGTGGTCTGACACGTATATACGAAAGGCTACTAAAAATGTGTCAGGTACACTGCTAGGATGTACCCTTGCATAAAAGTAAACTGACCTTGCACGACCTTCTCAAGACTTACGCCAGTAATTGAAATGACAGGACATGGTGGATGTGGGCTGGGGACTGGACGAGTCACCAGGATGTCCGTGTTAGGAAAAGCATGGTCAGCGCTTGACAAGTGTTGGAAGCTTGGCTGGCATGGTATCCCTCTTTAGCTGCCCTGCCCACGTCCGTGGACAATCTCACACTGCTTAATGTTTTTGGTGCAAATGATCTCAGCGCAAATCACTTAACCCCGAGCTCAAATCTACCGCAAACCCTTCTCAGATGTCAAGCTCTCATGGGGGCCAAGATCTCAAGAGAGCCAAATAGTCCCCCTTCGGACAAAAGAAAGCCGGGCGGGAGTAGGAGTCAGCCCTTTATATTCACTGAATACGATTTTCCGGAAATGTAAACTGCGTAGGAGACTAAGCAGTTCGCATATCTCTTGTTTTTCCTTTTCCTGTTCCTGTTTCTTTTCCTGCTGAAGTTCCTGCAGTTTGATAGAATTTTCCAAACAAACTGAGCCTGGGTAGCCTGCCAAATTGTGCGTAGCAACGGGGTCAATGATTTACACCATGCTGATTACGATCCTACGTATTGGCAGACGTCGCAGAAAACCACGTCTTGCCTGGGCTGTTTAAAGTTTCCCGAGTCTGCAGCAATGTGAAGTCCAAACACCCTCGCTCGTACGAGCTTCAGCTGATAAGATATTTGATACTACCCAATGCTGAGCAGTTTCAAACATGTAGAAGATACCAGCATGACACTCTGCCGGTCGGACGAACGACGAGCGATTCCATAACAGATGTGAGGTTCGCCAGTGTTATGACGTGGATGTCCGAAACTGAGCTTATGGAGCCGGCTGCCTTTGGCAGTCAATGCTGATGTGTTTCACCAATCCGTCGGGCATCCCACTGTTTATATAGCTACCGCCGCGCAGTCCGAGTCAGAAAGTCAGTTGCTGGACCATGGCTTTTCTCATAGCTTGGGCGAAATAACTGATCAATTGTGTATTTTTCTTAATGCGTTTATAATGCAGCGTCTTATTCAAGATATGTAGGAAATAAGGCATACAGATTTGGGAAGTATATGACTTCATAAAGACATCCAGTAACAGCTATGTGCATAGGCTAAGAACGTTTCAAAAAGTGTGGGACCAGAGTCAGCGCATATTTTTACTGGGAAGCAGGCCCGGTGACTGGGGGGAGGGGGTAAAGATGGAGGACATCGCTGCCCCCTTGAAAAAGGGGGAGGGCCATGGCTCTCTATCCCCCATCCCCCTCCGTTCCCACATCTATGGCTATATGAACCTAAAGTGAACTGTTGAGCGTACGCTGTGACGTTGACCTGTTGAATTGACTGCCTGAATGTAATTCAACTTTCGGGTTCAAGTATTTTGATGCGCTATCGTTAGTTCATTTTACTGGTAAAAAGTATCTTGATACGCTATTGTTTGCTCATTCCACTGGTAAAATTGGCACGCAAGAAACCAGAGTATAGTAGAAGAGATGATGTTCCTTAACGGTGCAGTATATGTTAAGAAAATCAAAATATTCGTGCCACTGTCCAGCACTTTATTGGCATCCCTTTGGTGACCTACTGTATGGTGTTGACGTCTATGAAATGGGGTCTCCTCCACGCACTGACAAAACCTGTTGGTGTTGGCTGTCGGAGATGTCAGGCCTTACTAGTTCAGCTTCTAGCATCATCTCGATAACGAGCAACGAATTTCACGTCTGATATCACCTCACTCACCTCACACCGCATTTTGCCTTGCTGGTCATTAAAATTCAAGCATGCGTGGCATCATGCCAACATCCAGAGCGTACCACTGTGCTGCATATCGCGGACATCGTAACTCAAACATGCCAAGAAACCACCTTCCATTTTTGTTAAATCCTAAGTCTGAGCACACACTGCCTCCAGGTCACAAGACCGCGCTTCCGCGTCGCTGGGACAACTGCCGTTTTAGGCTCTCATTAGCATTACCGAACAAGACGCATCCAAGTCCAGGAAAAAAAAGCTGAAGCAGAAGCTTGGTACGCTGGTGTAACCGTAAATAGCGTGACTTAAAATTTCAGTTGTGAAGAGGCAACGTCAAATCAAATGGTAACGTTTCGTGATAATTGGCTTCAAAGCTTTCATGAACTGAGCTGAGAGTGTGCAAATACCTGGTACTTGGCCAAATTGAGAATCTTCGGCATGCCGTATGGGAGCTAGTTTCCTTTTTCCGCGCGATATTTTTAGAAGCGTATATCTCTCACTAAAGAGCGCAAAGTAACTTCATTGCGCCTTCATCATTCGGCAGGTCCGGTAAGTTACGAGAACCGAATCTTTTACAAGCAAAATCATTTGACATTCGGCCACATTGGTGACCTTTCATGCTATTAAGATCACCATTTGTCAAATACTCGTCGGAACCACGCGCGACGCATCGTATCTCGATCAGCTTTCGTTCTCATCGACTTCAAGAGTTCCGTAAACTGAAAATCCTTCCTCACGTACTCCGGTCTTCTCCCTCTCCCCCTCCCCTGCTTTTCGGCGTACCTCCGAGCGGACGCGCTGCTGCCATCGGGTGGTCCGGTTCAGCCGCTGTCGTAGCGCCGTCGCGGCGGCGGCCACGGCGGCCTCATCTCCGCGGGCCTCCCGGGAGCGGGTGGTCAGACGGGCGGCGGCGGTGCCGATCTGCGGCACACGTGACGCACGTCCTGCCTGAGAGACCGGCCGACACTGGCCAGCCGACCATCGAGTAAACAGGCCGGTGGGCCCCGGTCGGTCGGCCGGCGCCGCCGCGGCCAGCGTGTGGGAATGGCCGCCTCGGCACAGCCGGCCGGTGCTAAGTGAGGCTGGGACCGACAGTCGGGGCGAGCGCCCGGGGAGGTGGCGCCCGGATCGGCGCCCAACGCTGCCGGAGACTCGGAGGCAGAACCGATAGACGGATCGAACCAGCGACATCAGTGGGACCACGGGCACCAAGGCCAACTACTGGGATTATTTGTCGGATCTGCGGCGAGGAGAAGCGGCTGATGGGACCTGACAGGACAGGCAATGTAGGGCCGGGTTTCGTAGAGTTGGTTGCGTCTTAAAAGGCGAAAAAACGAAACGTTAGTGACACGCATCAGAAAAGGTCCAAACAGGCGCTCCGGCGGCCCGCACGTCCGCACTTTTAAAACTGCTCGGCCCAGTTCACAACCCGAGTTTGCGGTTGATGTGAGTCGCTCAGGAGCGAGCCGAAGGGCCACCAGAGCTTCCACAGTGATGCAGATGGTGTTGCGTTCCAGACGCCATGTTTCAGATTGCATTGTTTCTCCACACGTAAGGACCGAGGTTTGCGGTGGACCGCCCCTTGCAGTCTTGTTGGCGGCACCGACGGATTCAAGATAAACATTGACATGCGACAATCGCATAAGCAGTTCAGGACAAACATCTGTAAAGGCTACAGGAAAACGCATTTCCCTCCACAGCGCTGAGCCCCAACCCACCAGGCAAGACCCTATCTCTCTTGTCACAGCCAGGACATCTCAGACGCAGTGGCAGGAGACCGCGGCTCCCCAGCCCACCTGATCGGCCAGGGACGCCGTCTTCTCCGACTGTGCGGCGGCCACTAGAGCGGCGGCGGCGCTGGCAGCGGCCGACGCCTTCTCCGCCGTCCCCTCGGCCTCCTCCAGCAGCGTGCTGGTGGCCGGCAGGCGGGCGCGCGCCGCCGCCGCCTCGGCGCTGCCCCGCGCCACCCGCTCCTCCAAGTCTACGCGGAGTGATCGGCGTCAGCTTTCAGAACCTCGAATCTCGGTCATCAGCATGTTGCGCATGGTGAAGTGTGTTCGGGGCTTTCGGGGCTTGATTCGGTCCGACATGGGTTTACGGGAGGGCTGTCCTGTTTTAAAAGCTCTGCAGAGCTCGTAAAATACCGATGGAGTTCAGTTGCGGGTAACGCGGCGGAACGCGCCATTCATACCAAATGCGCGCGACCGATCATGCGTAGAACTCATTGAGATGGCATCACATGCGCTGGCTACGATGATCAGTGCTTACCGTTCAGGTCCATAGCTGTATCCTTCACCCCCAAAAGAACATCTTCTGCTGTCTCGACGGCTGCCAATGTTGCGGTGTTCGCCCTGTCCGCCCTATTCCAGAGTTCATCTGGAAACTATGCGCAGTTAGGCAAAGCCCGGACTCCCACAAGAACTTGGAAGCCTCACAACAACCCTTTTAAAGATGCCGTACTCATGTTATGCTCCGTGTTGATGTCGAACAGGCAAGCATGTGCGACATGGAGCATTTTTGCGACAACTAAGAAGGCGTTCTTGACCGCCATGGTGGTGGCATTGGCCAGCGGCCATGACTGAAATATGAGTGAAATCAGCGAATGACTCGCATATGCTCGTACACTCGCAGTGAGTTTCCATCCCCCACTTACCAATATCTCCTCTTGCCAGAGCTGCCCTTTTCAAGTTCGTCTCCGCAAGTGAAGAATTCTTCAATATTTCACCTTCCTTACCTGCGACATTTTTGTAACCTTCGGACAAATTCTTACTCATTAAAGAAATCTGAAAATATGGAGATCGTAACCATTCAATTAGTCTTGTTGATGCATGTGGCACTTGCACAACATGTTACCATTTGGATAGGATAGCAGGGAAAGGCCTTTTTCCTCGGAGAAAAGCAGAAGAATGGAGATAGATGCGCTGATATTTCGGTAACATGCATAGTATTGAAACAAAGCGGGGAAGTGAATGCAAAATGCTTTATCATAAGTGAATTTTAAATTCATTTCTGCTCTTCGTTTTGATAAATGCACGTTGCCGAAACATCAACGCATCTATATCTCCATTCTACTGGTTTTCGTCCGAGGAATAAGACTATTACTATTGTCCTATCTACGTGCATAATGTTTCTCGCAAATCAACTTAACAACTTATGTTAGCATAAGTTTCTACTTGGGATGCCTTGCGTGCTAAGATAAGATAATTATCGGATATCACCTGTTCGGCGGCGAAGAGTGCCTTTTCCAGAAGGACGCCGGAAGCCCCTGCAGACGATAGATTCAGCGCATGCTGGCGACTTTGCACCGACTTCAGTTGAACGGAGTCCGCTTCTGCTGACGCCTCTGCCGAACCCGCGTGCACTTGCTGCATAAGCAACGTCAGCTCCCCATACGCTTCTCGCAGATCAACTAGATCTGGTCTGTAAAAAGAACGTTGGTCAAGAAGTTCTGTTCGTGCGTGCCTAGGGCGGTGACCAAGCTCACACATTTTGTTTCTTAATTGGTCTAAACCATAGGCAACGATAGCGACGACGGGTTTCGCAGCTCGCACGCACAGCCTACATCCTGTTGGTTTGTGGGGACGAGCTGTTAGAATATTCTAGGTGCTGCAGCGGCGTCGATCCAAATTAGGTCACTTACGAAGATGCCTGCCCGTCTTCGGTCAGCTGGGTGGCTAACATGTTGTACGCTGCAGTTGCTTCGCTTAGCGCAGTCTGGCCAATGGTGGTGAGCGTGTCAGCAGTTTCAACATGACTGTAGAACAAAAAAAGTCGTTAAAACAACGCCAGTAAAGGGGATGACCGGCATCAGCAGACCCTCATAGCGCACGGTCCATATGGCTAAGAAAAGGTTCCGAGAATTGGCATTTGGGCAGTGGAACTGTGTTGTCAAAGTGGCAATTCGGGAAAAGGGCATGAGCCTGTGGTTAGAGTATTTTTGCGCTCAAGTTCAACGCTGTATGCTGGACGGAAATGAGTGCAGCAAACTTCCATAAAGCAGTGGACGTGGGCGTATATAAAATAGCAATTTAGTACAGATAAAAAGAACGTGTACAAAGTGTATGCGTATCAAAATACAGCCCGGCACAGCACATCTTAACAACGTGGTAGTAATGAAGCACTAGACAGGCATCCCAATCCCTTAAAACGATTTGGCGGGATCAGATATTGGCGACGTCTCTGGCTGCAGCTCAGGAGTGCGCATACCTGTCGGCCAGAGCAGCTGCCCCACGGCTCAGCGACGTCTCTGGCTGCAGCTCAGGAGAGCGCATACCTGTCGGCTAGAGCAGCTGCCTCGCGGCTCAGTTTTCTCAGGCGGCTGCTTGTTGAGAACAGCTGCTGTCGGTGCTGCCGGGCCCTGTTGAAGGACGTAAATCCCTCTAGCTGAAGATAGCTCTGAAGAACCTGAAATTGAGGACTAATTCAACGGACTAGGGCTAAAAGTATGAAGAGACGACCTGATAGATGGTAGTTACGCCAGCGGAGCCTGCAGATAACGCTGGATTGACGTAAACCAACTGACAGCGAAGTAGCGCTAAGTTCATACCTGAGTAGTTCGGTCCACAGAGTTAATTTGCCACTCGGCGTTGACGATGTGACCCTTCTGCTTGCCAGCTACGTGGGTAGCGTTTGAAAGCCGTTCTTCGATATGACCAGCTGTCGTTTGAAGCCAAGATAATTTGAGCGTTGCCTTTGACAGCCAGTGCCTTTTGGTGTTCACGTCTGTAGACAACAGGGTAATGTCGTGATGATTCGCGACGAGAACAGCTTCATAACTTAATTACATTTATTCGTTTGAGCTAATTTCTAATCTTCCAATCTGATGCCATTCCTGGCGCTTGAAAACCTGCCGATGCTGTAGGTGGATTGATCCTATATAGACTAGATGCACGCAATCCTTGAGGAACTGTGAGGCTGATGCACATTGAAACTGCTCTAATGATGTCTTTCGTCTTACCCTGCTCACATGCATTCAATATCATACTACGCTGATACTAAAACAGTCCACAATTTAGTGTAAAAAGTATGAAAAGCCTCTGTTTTGCAACATAATGGTTGTTTCGGGTATGTCGTAGGCATATCAGGTGAGTCAGTTTCACAACCTGGCAGATGAGCGCTACACATGGGTTGAGAATATGGCATGACAGCTGTGATCAACATATCTAAAACAAGCAAGCAATCAAAAGCCAGCAAGCTCGCATGTTATTCGGTTCATGTGTATGCGGTTTAAATATATGCTGATAAACATCCTTGTTTTACGATTAAATACGAGTTTGCCTTGTTCAGAATGGCCTCTTCTCCCTGGTATTACAAGTTGTTGACTCTAAAGGCATACGGAAATAAACATGACGTTCATCCAAGAGATATTGCACTGGGCAGCATACATCATTCTCAGAATCGCATCTTTTTAGGTCAAGGGTGATTTATTCCCGGCTCACGCCCCACATACTCGCGTTTACAGCTCAGATTGCCGCAGTTTTAAATCTCATGCATGGCATGTTCTAATGTTGCACGAATGTTGAGTGTCATCAGACAATGATCGCAGTGTGTTCGCCTCTCGTGACAAAACTTTCTAAGTCAAACCATGGCTTCTCCGATACCAATGGCGATCAAATGCCAGACCAGCTCCTTTATGCATGGTTTGGTGCTGTAATCGTAGGAAGCACGTGGCATATGATCTTACCTTTCGCCTGGGAAGCATCTGATACGAATAGATGAATATCAAACGGGCCGATAATGTCAACCTAGTTATGTTGGAAGTCGACCGACCTGACTTTCCTCGCCGACAGATAGACTCCCTCCTGCGCCGAGTATGTTTAGGAGATGGGTCTGTAAACACGAAGTGATTGGGGTACCTACATTCATAGATGCGATTTTACTCCCGGGTCCATGTGCTGTATTTCTTTTTGCCTGTTGTTGACTGTTCATATTGCAGTATTCCTACGAGGTTTTGATGTAAACATGACCCTGCACGGGACACTGGTGGCCAGTGGCTGGTTCAGAGGAGAGGGAGGGAGCACGGGTGCATATCCCCTCACCCCTTCTTCACTGGGCTCCGCAGGGAGCCAACACCGGCCAATCGGATGCAGGCTTTTCAAAACAAAAGAAACATAGGACGTTTTCTGGCTACTGGGATAGCAAAACTATACGTCAGCAAAACAGAGGGATCCTTCAGCAGACAGGAACAATGTCAAGCTAAGTAAGAGGGTAGTGGTTCGAAAATTTTAGGGCTCATTACAGACTCATTACAGACGTCCAGGCGCCCTTTATTGTTTTTTCAGGAAGCTTTGTTATCAACATGAGCTTCCTAACATTTACATATGAGACACAAAAACAATATGCTAAGACCGCAAGACACGGCGACATAATAGCACATCACCACATCACGCAGCTTCATTACATACATCATTGCAATGTGTTGCAAGTTTTTTCTTTCTCCAATATATTGTAATGCATTACTTCCGCTGATCAACACCAGCCACGAGCCTTAAAATCACCCGATTCACAGTCAATGACCGCAGCTCAGCATACTTCCACAAAACAGGGTGCATAGCTTATTTCATTGAGCTATCATTGTTCCACAGTAAATTGTAAAATAGTTTTGAATTTCTTTAGTATGCTGGATAAATATTTATAACAGCCATAAACATGTGTACTAGTTTTAAGAAGAGCAAAGCATTTATCCTTATTAAACATCCCGATGGAGTGATAAGAACATTTCCTAGCTGTGGAAGCTGCCTTTCTAAATTTACTTCCTTGCTCTGATGAATCCCGCGACTGTAGTGGTCGCCTGAAGTTTGTATTTTGTTTACCCATTTGACAAATGTATCCAAAGATTCCCTTGGTATCCGTCTC